AATGGATTTTCCTTCCAATAGTGTCCAAAATAACATTCCAATTAAAACTGTGAGCTTCTACATTGTGATACCAATGTAGTGTTATAGGCAGATGCTAATGTTTGGGAGGAACATGTTGCCTCCATTTTCAGGCTCAAAGTGTGGTGGGTGAGGAAATGGCCGCTTTCCTGCTCATTGCGCCTTCTGGCCCAGACCAGGTTCTATCTCCTCCCCATCTCCCAGGGATCTAAGTGACTACCTTCATTTCAATCTGCTTGTACTCGTATAACGCAACTAATTCCTCACCTGTATACTCTGACCATAAAGATGGAGGCAAAATGTTGCTAGCCTCCTACAAGATTACACTGTGTCACAACACAGAAGACCACAAGCTCAGTAAAAGAAGCATTTATGGAAAATTGCAGGGGCGGTGTGTCATTAGGGGCTAAAGGGGCTAAGCCACACCTGATTTTGTTGTAGTATTGAATTTTCATATTCATTCATATTTTATTCTGTTTCACTCATTCATCAGTAACCTGTCAAGACAACAGGTCCACAGTCTCTTCCAAAACAGTTCCTCCACATCATGTGATCTGGAGCTTTCTCCTTCAAATGAGAATATCCTTCTCTCCTCAAGGTCATCCAGCATCTTCTTATGTCTTCTGGTCACTTCTATCCGCCCCTCTATCTTACCTTTAATAAATACTTTTAGAAGGCAGTTACTGCATAGGATATGACCAATCCAATTAGCCTTCCGTTTTCTTATTTTGTGTAGGATATTCCTCTGCTCACTGACTCTAAATAACACTTCTTCATTTCTCATAAAATCGGTCCAACTGATCTTCTCCATCCTTCTCCAATATCACATTTTGAAGCTTTCCAGGTGTTTCTGATCTACTGCCCTAAGTGTCCATGCTCCAAATGTAGCATCACTAGTTTCTTCCTCAAATTTAAGTCCAATTTGCTGGTAAAAAGATTCTTCTTCTTGGTAAATGCAGCTTTTGCCATGGCAATCCTTGATTTAATTTCACAAGTACACTTTCCATAATCTGTTAACAAGCTACCCAAATATTTAAAACCTTTCACATTCTCCAATTGTATCTGGTCTATGTTTATTGTGACTGGGGTTGGTTGTCTCGAAATTTTCATTACTTTTGTTTTTTCCACATTCATTTCCATGCCATAGCACCTTCCAATTTCAATTAGTCTATCAATCATGCCCTGTAGCACAGTTTCTTCCTTAGCCATTAACACAAGGTCATCTGCATATTTCACAGTTTGAATAATTTGCCCTCGTAATTTGAAGTCTCCGAGCCCATCCAGAGCTTCCTTGGTAAGGCATTCGCTGTACAAGTTGAACAGAATTGGTGATAAACAGCATCCTTGTCGAACTCCTCTTCCAATCTTCACACTTCTTGTCTCCCCTCTGTCCAGTCGCACTCTAACTTTCTGATCCATGTACAATTTACTAATCAATCTTCTTTCACGCCAATCGATACCTGTTTCCTTTAGGATCTGCATTAATTTGGCCCAATTTACACAGTCAAATGCCTTCTGCCAGTCTATAAATCAAGCACACAGTTCTTCATCTATCTCTAAAGTTCATTCTGCTATAATTCTCATCATCCCAATTGCATCCCTGGTTCCTTTTCCTCTTCTAAATCCAAACTGATCCTCTCCAAGTATATCCTCTATTTTCCTTTCAGTTCTT